ACCTGATTTAAATGAACGAGTGATTGGCAGGCTTCTGCAGAACTTATGCAGAAGAGCAGGGAAACAACTAAAACATGCAGGATAGTGGGTCATAAGGACTGGAATTGAAAATCCACTGAGCTAAATGCTCCATATCAAGAGCTTGTGCACAAGGAGAGGAGATTAACATAATTACCACCTCAAAAACACCATATAAGGCTACACTTCCTGCCCCACATACTAGGAAGTGTTTATGAAAATGACATCACAAAGTAAAAAGAAGAACTTCAGAGTTCAGAGACTGAAGTCCTACTCTCAGAGATCCAGAAAAGAAAATCTGTCATTTTCAGCAACGTCAGCTGTGGAATTAAAGGAGCTGCTAAAGACAAGGGAATGAAATGACGACTGCTGTTAATGTCGTGTCTCCTGTAGGTCGTAAAGTCACAGAAACAACAATCTAAACCGTATTCATCTCTAGTTCGGCTCCAGTTTTCCTTTGCTAAAATATTCACACAGCATTAACAGCAGTCTCTTTTACTACTTTGAAATCTGAAAGACATAGGGATATGCAGGGTTGTGCTAGACTGGTTCAAATCATACCTCTCAGACCGCACTTTCTCAGTCTTATTAGGCTAATCATTCTCTGACTCAGCCAAACTCACCTGCGGGGTTCCACAGGGTTCCATCCTGGGCCCATTTCTATTTCTGCTCTACATCCGCCCCCTGAGGTCATCAAAAATTTTCCCTGACGTCTCCTACCACTTCTATGCAGATAACCTGCAGTTGTACTGCTCCTTTAATGACTACACCTCCCACAAGCTCAACTCTCTTATAAAATGTGTCACTAAAGCAGGGGTGTGCAATCCTGGTCCTCGAGGGCCGCAGCCCTACATGCTTTACGTTTTTCCTGGCTCCAACACACCTGATTCAGTCACTGATTTACCTTCCAAGTTCTGCAGTATGGAGGACCAAAACTGACATAATTATAAATAAAAGCAGAAATATATAGTTTTACTTTTTACTTGTACATACATTTGTCTCTTAAATGTTTAAATTGAAATATTTTTATAG